TGGTCTGAGTCTAGTAGGGGTCCTAGTTTGTTCTTCATTGCTGTGACAAAATACTCTGACCACTACTAACTTGGGGAGGAAAGGGTTTATTTGGCTTACATATCCCAGGTCAGAGTTCATCCGGGAGCCCAAGGTAGGAACTCAGGGCAGGAACATGGAGGCAGGAGCTGCAACACAGGCCATGGAGGATCACTGCTTACTTTGCTCCCCTGGCCCCTGCTCAGCCTGGTTTCTTATACAACACAGGCCCACCTGCCCAGGAGTGGCACCACCCACAGTGGGCTGGGCCCTCCATCACTCATCAAGAAGATGCCCCTCAGACATGGCCACAGGCAGTCCAATAGAGGCAATTCCCCAACTGAGGATCCCTCAACCCAGGTGTGTCAAGTTGACACTAAAGCTATCCAGCACAGTAGGTTTATGCCTTTAGCCATTAATTGTCACTGGATTTTCATGTTGTGACTCAGATGTGCTTATTTTAATTTTTTAGAATAACTATGCCTTAAAATATTTTAAATTTATGAACATGGCTGTGGAAAGAAGAGGAAACAGGCTTAACTCTGCTTCACCATGTTGATATACCATAGTGTCCCACCCTGTGTGGGCGGCCAGTGCTCTCAGCTCTGTTCTTCACTGAGACTTAAACTCAGCTGCAGAGAGCTGCCTTCCCAGAGCCTACATTTCCCTTAACGCTAATGTGGAGGTACAAATAGTCTACATCCTTCCTTCTGTTTGGAGCAGTTCTGCAGGTCCATTCTAATTTTGGAGCTCCCTGAATGACTGGCTGAGATCTCAGGTGCAGCTGCTTTGCAGAAAGTCTCCCTCTGACCCATCCTGCCTTAAGCACTTCCTTACATTTCCTGAGAACTGTACCCATATACCCCACCACTATTCTCCATCTGAGTCCATTTGTGAATCATATCTAAGACAGACTATACTAGAGAAGATTTTCAATGTCCTGCAGAATACATCAGCATTTTAACTGGCATAGTGGATATGTTATACTTGAAAATAATTTTGTTTTTCTTTTGGCAGCTGTCATTCTCTGTGACTCCAGTCATGTGATTAGCTAACTGACAAGTTGTATTAGTCAACTATCTGAGATAGTCTACCGGTAAAGAGGAAAGGTCTAAGTCCACCCATATAGGAAAGGTCTATTTTGGCTTATGGTTTCAGAGGCTTCATCTGTGATCTCTTGGCCTCATTGCTTTGGGTTTGAGGCAGCCCAGTACATTCTGGTAGGTGCGTAAGGAGGGGACCGCTCACCTCATGACAGCCAGTAACGAAGTAATGGGAAGAGAGAAGAAAGGGCTCAAGGGAACTCTCCTAGTGACCTAACTTCCTTCTGCTATCCCCACCTGCTAAAGGCTCTACTGCTTACAGATAGCACTACAGGCTAGCAACCAAGCCTTTGGCAGATGGGCCTTTGGGAGACACTTAAGATCCAAGCTGTAACATATGTTAAAGCATTGTTTTACAAACCAGCAAATTAAAAGGACTGTTGTATTAGACTAACCTACTGTAACTCAGCAAAGGCCAGATTTTAAGATAGTATAAAGTGAATAAAACTGATGTCACCTAGGGTCTGTTCTCAGGTCTTTTTCTTGGCCAGGTAAAGAAAGAATTATAAGAAGAGAATTTCAAGTCTCAGCACACAGCTAAGATATTGAAGCATACATTACACACAGCAAAGAGACAAACTCTACACATGGGGAAGGGTCCAGAGCTGGAGCTCCGTCTACTCCCTGGTGAATCTGGGCTTTTATATTCTGTAGGGTAGCAGGTGGGACAGGATTGGGTTCCTCTTTCCTGCTTTGAATTGGACAGGGCAGGATGCATGTTGTTGGTTAGGTCACTCAAGTGAGAGAAAAACCTAATTGGGTAGAGCAAGGGCAGGAGATTTGAAATTCCTGCCACACCCTACAGCGTGTGTGCATGAGCATGTGTGAAGCCTGCCAAAAGGGCCAACTTCGAACAAGAACCGGGAAGTAGCTCATCTTCGGTGCAAATGAAAGTAGTTGGAACACAGCTGAATCTAGTCTGGGGCTGCCTCCTGCCTAATTCAGAACTACCTCTTATTCTCCTTCAAAACCATAATATTTATTATTTTTCCCTCAACATGAAATATAATACATGCTTATTATAGAAAACTTGAAAATAAAGCTTATAATTTCACTACCCCAAAATAATTCCTTATTATTTTGGGGTGTACATCTAGCCTTTTATCTGTAATATATACTTTATGAAAATATAATTCATGAATCAAAATGTCTGTAGATTTTTTTGAAACTTTGATATGAATTAGCAACTTGGTTTAAAAATTATTGCATTAGCTTACATATAGTCATTCACCAGCAGTGTTTGAAAGCGTAGTGTTCTAATACTGACTTATTTTTTAAAGGAATTTTGTTCATTTGATAGGCAAAATAGTTTTTTCTTTAATTTGCATTTCTATAATCACTAATAGATGGGACTTATTTTCATGTTTATTATATTTCTGTGTGTATGTGTAAGTATGTAAACTATCATGTCCTTTGTCTATTTTTTTCTTGGCATATTTAAATTTTTCTATATCATATAATGCAGATATTTCCCCCTGAATTTTCATTTGTCTTTCAATGGAACCTTTTGATATATGCAGCCAAATTTACTAATGTCAAATTTAGTGTGGTTTCTGTTCTGCTTGGGAAGGCCTTTGCTACCCTAGGGAGGAACTTTGCTGGAAGGTGAGGTCACCTGTGAGGAGACAAGGGGATTAGGCAGGAAGGGGCTGAGGAAGCCTACAGCGAATTCCAGCATCCCAAGGCCCTAGAATCATATAGTCTAGCCCCTTCATTTTACAGATGAAGGTGCAGTGGTCCAGGGAGAGTTAGAAACAAGATTGAAGTAGCAGATTTCAAAGTCTCCTAATAAAAGCATTATCTGTGAAGGGATGCGTCACATTTTCATAAAGAAGTAATTAATTTAGTAATGGTAAAAGGGAAAATCCTCTTACACTTTTCTATATTCTAATGCTTGCCACAACATTGAAGTGGAATTAAACATGCCCCTGAATGCTGATTACATCTTTACACCTAGAATTGATGGCTCTAATTTCTTTTTATTGATTGTGTGGCATTTTATAAAAGCTATATGGATGTCATGGTGCTTACCCAAAGCAAACTCACCACAGCAACCAGCATCCATCTATAATTGTTAACAGAATCCACAAATTAGACTAGAGGCCATTGAAACTGAAGAAGAAAAGGCTGTGTAGTATTCAAAACGTGGTAGGTTATTTGTTGACTCAAGGATGGAAATAAATAGCAAATAATTGTATATTCCAGAAGGGGGTCTTGCATCTTAATAGATGCCTCTAGTTTAATTTGTAGCAGGATATAGTGTTGCCGAATTTAACATATAAAAATATGGAGCACCTAGGGAAACTTGAATTTCAGACAATGAATAATTTTTAATATAATTATGCCCTATGTATTGAGTAACTTTTTGTATTAAAGTTACTCATTTATCTGAAATCAAATTTAATGAGGCAATCTGGATTTGATCTGGCAACCTAGTAAGAGGAACCATTTGTTACACATATTATAACAATCCATATTATAATAAATCCAATGCATTTATTGTACAAGTTTGTTTCTTTTTCACACCAGTGAATGAATGAACAAAATACTTTCAAGGAAAAATCCACTAAGAATCTCATGCAGAGGTAAAATTTTCCAATGATACATAGAAATGTTTTATTAGAGGGCCGAGGAGGCGGCTCAGTGGGTAAGAATGCTTACTCTGTGAACTTTAAGACTGAGTTTGAAGTCCCAGCTTCATATAAAAAGCTGTGCATGGTGTCAAGTACCTGTAAGTCCAGCATTGGTGGTGGTGGTGGTGGTGATGGTGGTGATGGAGACAGGTAGGTCCCTAGAGCTCACTTGCTGGTCAGTCATCCTAGCCTAAACTGGTGAACTTCTGATTCAGTGAGAGACCCTGTCTTAAGGCAGTAATGCAAGAGCAATACAGGAATGTGCTTGATGTCCTCCTCTGGCCTCCACATGGGAGGGCATGGGCACAGGTGCTTGCATGCTCAAGTGCATGCACCCTCCAACACACACACACACACACACACACACACACACACACACACACCACACAGAAACATGTTATTAGTTTCCTAGTACTGCTATGGCAAAATAACAAAATTGGGTGGCTCAAGACCATAGATACTTACTGTGTTCCAGTTCTGGAGGCCAGAAGTCGGAAATCAAGATGCCAGTAGCACCCGGCTCCCTCCGAAGCTGGAAGAAGAATGGCTACTTGCCTGCCTCTTCCTGGCTTCTGAGGTCTGCAGACAGGCCTTCCTGTTTTGCTTTAAGCACAGTGGTTCAGCCTGACTTCTGTCTTCACAGGACAAACTCTCTGTTTTTGTTTTTGCATTTTCTTCTTCTTTAAAGATACCAGCTGTACTGGGTAGAACCCATACTAAAGAACTCATTTTAACTTCACTCATCTGCAAAGATCCTGTTTTCCATGGTCACTTTAATGGGTACCAGAGGTTCAGGTTTCATTATATCTTTCTTGTTGCCACAAGTAAACACATAGCAACATGATTGCCTGATAGCCTTGATTTTATATTAAAAATAGAAAACAGCTTTTACCATCGTCATTTTATTATTTGCCAATTACAAGTACCGATAATGCCCAAACTGGTTCCCATTCAAGTTGGAAAGGTTTTTGTTTTCAAAAGAGAAAACAGAAAATTTTATGTGGGATCCTAGAATGTAAGCTTACATTTTTGTCCTGTGCTCCAACTTAACACAGAAAGAATACTCAGGGGCCTGCAGTCTCAGTCAAGCAGACGTTTATGTTCCCTGAGCGCAAGGCAAGTTGTGCTTTTTTTTTTCCCCTCACACTGGAAACCCAATAGAGTTACAGCCTTGTCAGAAGACCAGCTTGTTGCTCCAAGCCACTTCTGAGCCAGGAGTCCCAGGCCCAGGGGAGGAAGGGGCCTGTCAGTCTCAGAGCAGTGCATGACTTTATCTTATGGCTGTGAGACTCAAAATGAAAGATGATGACTTCTCCTCACTGACCCAACCCAGGCTGTGCTTTTAAAGGAAAATACAGGGATTGCCATTGTCATGGATTCTTAGGTGTGAAGGTCCCTCTGCAGTCCAAGAGGGATCCTCATAGTGACTTCTTATATTATTGTTCCAACAAGAGGGGGATGTGAGACTTTTAGGGGCTTTTACTCATAAAATGTATAAAGCTTTCTTATTTTAAAGTGATTTGGGGGACCCTTCAGACAAGTCAGAGGAACTTCTCAGTGATACACAATGTATAGAAGAAAGCTCAGTGGTTAAGAGTGTTCACTGTTCTTTCAGAGGACCTGAGTTCAGTTCCCAGCACCTACATTGGGTAACTCATAACTACCTGTAACTTCAGCTTCAGGGGAGCTGACATCCTTTTCTAACCTTCAAGGACATCCACACATATGTAGCATATACTCACACATACACATGTATATTTAGAGAGAGAGAGAGAGAGAGAGAGAGAGAGAGAGAGAGAGAGTAGAACATACACACACACACACATGTATATATATAGAGAGAGAGAGAGAGAGAGAGAGAGAGAGAGAGAGAGAAAGACCAAAAAAGAAGTGTCCAAGTAGCTCTTGGATTTAAGTTACCAACAACACATTTACCATGTTAATCAAGAGATGAATCAGCTCAAATTTCTAATTCAGATCACATCAAGGAAAATGAGCAACAGTCTCAAGAGAAAAATTCACTAATGGTACAGAAATAGCCCATTTTGGAGCTGGAGAAATGGCGCAGTGGTTAAAAGCAGTTGGTGTTCTTCCAGACGACCCAAGTTTGGTCTCCAGCACCCATGCTCGGCAGCCCATAAATGCCTATAACTTATAACTCCAGTTTCAGGGAATCTGACACCTCCTTCTGGCCTCTACAGGCATCTGCATATACTCACACAGATATATACACATACACATGAATTAAAAAAAAATTAAGCCCATTTTAAGGAGGATGTTAGAATAGCTGTCTATCCATCTATCTATCTATCTATCTATCTATCTATCTATCTATCTTATCTATCTATCTATCTATCTGTCATCTATCTATCTCTATCATCTATCTGGCTATCTATCTATCTATCTATCATCTATCTATCTATCTATCTATCTATCTATCTATCTATCTATCATCTATCTATCATCTATCTATCATTAATCATCTATCTGTCATCTATCCATCTATCTATCATTTAACAATTTTCTTTATTTTTTCTTTCTATATTGTCATCTATTCTTCCCTTAAAAAGATGGTATAACAGCATTAAAAGAAAATTTTGCTGTCTATTATAAACTTTATATCAATGTTTTTATTTCTGCATGGCACCTTTATAATGCGATACCATATTTTAAAGTTGATTATTTCCTTATGACAAAGTAAGCACATTTTTTGTAGCTTAAACAGGCTTCCTTCTTTGAAAATAAAGGTCACCCAACTTTAAAAAGACATCTTTGACTTGGACCTGCCATGGAAAAATATTTCAATAAAATATTAAGGAATTGTTTGACGAGGTAGGTCAGGCTGGTTTATCATGTTGGAGGACATAGGTTGACTTTGGGGAGGGTTACACTATAAGTTTCTAAAATGCACTCCTGGTTTAGCTTTGGAACTGTTTCATACAAGTTGTTTAAGTATAGATATGAAAAATATTTTACTTCCCATGATTTTTGTGTAAATTTTAAATAGAAGAAATTGTTTTCTGAAACAGGTTTATCTTTGATATGTTAGTATTGTTAGGTAATATCTGTTAGTCATTAACTTTGGTGGTTTGAATGAGAACTGTCTCCCATAGGCTACAAATATTTGAACACCTGATCAGTTGGCGGCACTGTTTAGGGAGGGTCATCGAATCCCTAGGAAGTGCAGCCTCGTTGGTGGAAGCATGTGGCCAGGGGCAGGCTTCGAGAGCTCATACTCTTGCCCCATTTCCTGTTTCTTGCTTCCCATGTCTGCTTGAAGATGTGAGCTCTCAGCTTTCTTCTCTGGCTGCTTCCTGCCATGTCTCCCCACCATGATGGACTTATTCCTCTGGTGCCATAAGCCAAATAAACTCTTCTTTCTATAAGTTGCCTTGGTCATGGTGTTTTCTCACAGAAACAGAAAAGAAACCAATATACTAACACAAGTCTTCTTTCAAAGTTATGAGTAGGAAAATACATTTTCTTGGCAAACCCTGACCCTATTGGCCTTTAAGTACTTGGATAGTTTCAAGACAGGGAATGCCTTGGTTGGGAATAGGTTAGACTAGCAAATGATGGGACCTCTGGAGCGTCCTTTCTCTGGAAGTCATCTCTGTGCCTGATAACTTGCTTTATTCCTGCCAACCTCCCTTTAAGAGGCCCTGCCTCTGCTTTCCTACTTATTTTTGGAGGCTCTGTTATCCATTTGATGAATATCAATGTCACTCTTGAGCACTTTAAAGAAGTGTTAAATATATACTTTATTTAGTTCAATATAACCAATTCATTATTTCAATATGCAGTCTACATGAATTATTGAATTGTCTTTCCATTCTTGAGTCTTTAACAATTTTTTGATGTACTTATTTTCATTTTAAGTGTATGAGTGTTTTACCTGCATGTATGTAAGTTCACCTATGTCATGAAATGCCTCAGAGGCCAGAAGAGGGTTTCAGATCCCCTGGAACTGGAGTTATGGAGGTTTTTAGCTGCCATGTGGATGCTGGGAACCAAACCTGGGTCCTCTGCAAGAGCAGCCAGTACTCTTAACAGCTGAACAATCTCTGCAGCCCTATGAGTCTTTTTATTACTTTTTAAAATTAATTCTTTTGAGTCTTGAGTCTTTCTTGACTCTGGATTTATAGCTGCGGTTCCCTCACCATGAGCTGGGGATTGTCTGTACTCTTCTTCTGGATGCCTTTGATGGTCTTTTGTTCTGACAATTGATGCTGTTTGCATTGTACCCAGCCCATCTTCTGTGCTGGTGGGGTCTGGCTTCAGGTGACAGTGCTGACTTGATCCTGATCCTCTCTGCTAGATCCTTAAATTTCCTACCACTCTCCCTGCCTTTGCTGCTGTAAAGTCCCATCCTGTCTTATACTGAGTTCTGAAATTTAAAATGGGCTATTTCTGAACTGTTAGTGAATTTTTATCTTGAGAGTGATCTTCTGTTTTATCTATAAAGGACTATGGTATAGACAGCACATGTATGAAAGTATTCGTTGACTAATGAGTGAGTGAGCAAATGAAGGCACAGCTCTCCAAGGGTTGTTCAGGTAGAAACATCCAGAGTACAGGAAGGGTATCTACCTCAGGTCACCTACAGCAGATAGGGGAAGAGCTGGCATTAAAAACCTCTTAGTCTGACTTCAGTGTCCATAGGGACAAGCTACTTTGTACAGCTGACAAAATTCTCATAATTTTCTTGCTAGCTAGGGACTATTTCAACAGTTAAAGAGAAAATATTACTAGGTTTTAAGCTTTATCTGTAGTTTCTGGTTTTATTGACCATGTCTTGGACTGTGGAGTGACCTCTTGTATTGCTGCAGTGTCTGTGATTATGTTTGAGGAATGGTGGTTGCTTAGTGTGTTACTCAGGCAGTGGATCAGACCCTATGTACTCTGAGATCAGTGGGTTATAAAAGGTTCTCCCGAGAGACCCCTGGCAGGAGAAAAGTACCAAGAAGAGGGTTGAAGCTTGACTTATCATAGGTTTATGTTGGGCTGTGGGGCAAGCATACTCTGAACAACGGGTCTCATGATTTGTGGTCAAACCACAGAGTGGGCTCAGAACACCAGCACTTTATCATCTTAGGGAAGATCTTTGGAGGTCGCTGTAGATGCCTCAGTGCTTGAGATAATCTGTGCAGAAGTTTTAAATCTGTTTTTGTTGTTGATTTTGTGTCATGGATTCCCTTTAGCAGCCAGAAGAATGTTTTCCAGTACATAGAATGAAATATATGGAGTGATGAAGAAACTGATTTAACAAATCCACCTATCACAACATACTAGGCCAAATAGCTGCTGTGACTGTGAACCATGATGTCTGCAGATAATTTGACATGGAATCAGCAACAATGTGATGGGTATGAACATAACACAATTCACAAATATTCAATTGGAGGCAAAATTGAAAGTGTTGCTAATGCACTGTGGTGTGTAGCCCACATTGTAATGGAAGAAAACAAGTTAAAGTTTTGTGGGGAAAAAAGTTTTTTTCCCATTCAAGTTCATAGTGCTCTAAGCGATGAGCCCTTCTCTCTGGGCCAAGCAGTCACTGCAGACTCAGCAGCAGGCTTCCCCTAGGTTGCAGAGGGATCTATAAGGCAATTACTTTGTGACTATTGAGCATACATTCATCACTTCACCTCTTTCAGCCTCACTTTCTTCTGTGTCACTGAATGAGATGTGCTGGCCTCATCCTTATCCGAAGGTTAAATGTAGTGCTCTATGTCAAATAAAATATGTCACATGTCTTCGGGTCCTCAGCAGTAAAGTCAATATTTAGTAGGTGTAATTTCATTTAGACAGATGTAGGGAAAATTAAAAGGGAGAGATTAGTTTTCATTATTCATGATTTTTTAAATCTAGATTGTTTTTCCTCGTTAATGCTCTTCCTAAGAAATACTGCCTCATGAAGGTAATTTATAAAATAGTAATTAAAAATGCCTGGATTGATCCCATTTCTTCCCTTGATATGATTTGGTTTATTAATAATTTCTTTGGGGCTGAAGAAATGGCTCAGCATTTAGGAGCATGTGCTGTTCTTGCAGAAGACCGGAGTTCAAGTCCCATCACCCATCTTGGGGGGCTCAGAACTGCCTGTAACTCCAGCTCTAGGATATGCAATACCTTTGGCTTCCATGGGCATCTGGCCACCCATGTAACATACACACACAGACATAGACACACATATAATTAAAACATAAATCTTTTAGAAAATAATTTCTTCATTAGTTGAAAGCAAAAGGAAAAAAGTTCCCCAAACCAAACAAACAACAGAAAATGGGGAAGGGGAGGATCACCTGCAGCTACTCAACTAATTTT